TCAGCGTTTTTGCCCATGCATAAATATGCCTCTCTTTGGCTTAGGGCTAATAGGGTTATAAATAAAAGATCATATTTATAGCCCTAAACCAACCATAGATCAATACTTTCCCACTCCTAATTAGATACAAACTTTTAATTTATCTTAAATTCTTAATCTAATGTTAATCAAATTTAAATTGCAATCTCTAACAACAAAAGTGCATGCGCTAAAAATTTTTATTCCTATGGACATTGTTTTTGAAAGGACTTTACATGAGTGTCTTGCTTTCGAGGAGTTCCGCTGTGACTCGTCTCTCTGCCGCAGTGTGAATCGGTGACTGCAAATAACATATTTGGCCTATTGATTTGAGGTATCGAAATCTTGAGTTCACATCTTCCATTAAGAAAATTTTCCTTTTTAAGTGTGAGAATTGCATTTGAAATCATTTGAATGATAACTTACAATGCAATCTTAATTTAACAGTGAATCTTGTCCGAGGAATCAGGTATCATCAGTTTTATCATCTCAAAACCAATCGTACGCACTCTAAATTCATAGATAAATTCCGTTAAGCATGTTCTATGGTCCTTAAATCATCAGAAACCTAAATTTCGTATGATTTGTGGATATTCTGCATGAACAGTACAAAAATGTTCATGCATGCCATTATAATCTAAGCAATCTAGAATGGAACATAGAACTTGATGAACAGTACAAAAAAGAAAACTTATTTAATCCTTCTTACTATTTAACAAATCAGAGTACATTCTCTATCATCAAAATTGTTTTTTCTCCATTTGATTAGAAAAATTAGTCTTTAGAGTATTGAGATGATAATATCAAGTCCCAAACAAGATCTCTATATATATATATATATATATATATATATATATATATATATATATCATTTTGATTTGTTTATGGGGACAAAAAGAGAGGTATTAATCTATTCCTAAAGAGAGGCAGCAAAACTTTTCTTCCATGGAGGCAGGTAATGCATTTGTTGCAGTGATGACTCAATGCGGTCTTTCTTTAGTGGATTAGTTCTTGAATCCATCGAGTTAGGTGGCGTCCTCAACCAATCTCGTGGAACGAGAGATGGAAACTTGTTCTGTCTTCTTTCATTCATAGAACATTCCAGGAGCTGCAAGTGAGACAATTGGAACGATGACATCCACCAAGAAACCTTTGTTGATAAGATCAAAGAGAGCCTTCCATTTTCCATCCATAAGCAAGCAAGAACGTACATACAATCCACTTCTATCTCTACAAAAACATGTGATATGGGAAGGAACACGTTTGTACTTCTCCTGACTTTGGTAGGTCCAATTGGAGCAGGTTGCTGGGTTTTGAAATGTATGCACATTAAACTTGAGAGGTGGCAAATTCCACATGGCATGTGATTCATATGAAATTAGCAACTCTAAGCTATTCAATGCTTATAGAAAGAAACTCTATATCTATAATATGCACTTGGTATTTGCATTTTCACATAGAGGAATTTGAATAGCTGCTACAAGTGAATTATCTGTAACTTTTTTTTTTTTTTGGTAGAGCATTTTGATAGAAGATAAGATTTTCTTAACTATATGAGGAAATTTCTCTATTCTGTTGAGGAAAATCCTCTATTCTGTTGAGGAAAATCCTCTATTCTGTTAGGGAAATCCTTCCTCCTAATTCCTATAAATAGGAGAGGGAACATGTTAATAGATTTAAGCTAAAGCTATTTCATTTCTACAATAAAGCTTTTTCAATTATTGTTCTTATCTTCTATTATTTCTATCATGGTATCAGAGCCGCTTGCCTAGAGCAAGCTCTCTTCTCGCTGCCAATTCATCATTGGTGTTGCCACTCTGCGCCAACGTCCGTTCCCTTCCGCTACGGCATCTCTAGTGCTGCTCATCAGTACTGCCCCACCTTTCTTCCTCGTTGTAGCTATTTTCCTTCCTCTTCTGCTATAGCTTCCTCTTCTACTACAGCTTCCTCCTCTGTTGCAGTTTCCTCCTTTGCTGTAGTAGCATCACTGCAACATTGCTGTAGATTTCTTCTCTACCGTCGCAGCCGTAACAGCAACAGCGATCTACACTTATCTTACTCATGAAGCCTCTCGCTTGTAAACAATTCTTTGCATCGATCCAAGATTGGTATCCTTGTCAGGAGCACCATCTTGCGGGGGCATGATAGAAGATAAGATTTTCCTAACTATATGAGGAAATTTCTCTATTCTGTTGAGGAAAATCCTCTATTCTGTTAGGGAAATCCTTCCTCCTAATTCCTATAAATAGGAGAGGGAACATGTTAATAGATTCAAGCTAAAGCTATTTCATTTCTACAATAAAGCTTCTTCAATTATTGTTCTTATCTTCTATTATTTCTATCACATTTGGTTATCTATCTGATTTTTTTTTTTTTTTGCAATTTCACATCTATATGATTTGATATATTTTATATCATACATGCAGATTGTGTCTTTTTAACGTTATCTATCTTAATTACTGTAATATTAAATTTACATGCAAGCATTGAAATATGATAGTTACAGCATTTATCTATTTTTAATAATTATTTATAAATACCTTCTGTTGTAAGCAATCAGACTTGGAAGATAGCTGCTGCAGGATTTATCTTCTTAAGAAGAAAGAAACAGTGGAAGAGGACCAGTCAAATTTATCAAGCATAATACAGAAAAAGATCTAATAGAAGACAATAGGAAAGGTAAAAAAAAAGCAAATGACAAAAACAAAGAAGGAAGAAGACGGCCGGAGAGGAACAAAGCCAGAACCATAGAGGGAGGAAAAATCCAAATAAGGTAAGACTCTTCGGATTGCAGGTGTGCACTTGGACAAAACATGCAGTATGTAAACGACAGCATTCTAATTGGCTCTATCTTCTTGACATCACCATGGAAATTAAACTGCAGTAGCATTTCTCATCTTCCAGACTTGATTGTATATTATATACTTATCTTATTTCAGAATGGCTGTTTCTGACTTCTCTCTTATGTTACTGTAGCTCGTGGAATACCAGTATTTGATGCAAGATGTACAATTTAGTATTAGTAAGCCAAAATGGAACAGCTACCTGAGGTTGAGGTTATCACGTCGAAAGCCAACACGTGTACTGCATGAACCCGTAAATAAACGCCACCACCACGACTGGAAGGATTCAAAGCATCACATAATGCATCCAGCTGTTTCCCCTTCGTCCCTCAAAGCACATAAAAAGATAAGAAGGGGTTGCATCTCCTTGGAGTATATGATTCTGGGTGGATTGTGCACAGATTTGAAAGTACTTGAGATGCTCCATATATCAATTAAGTATATCACCAATATACATACACCACGAATGCTCGGTATACATTTGCGTTAGCATGAAGCAAACATGCCTGTTAGATGCCATATTAGTATAATGTGCTTCCAGCATCTCATTTGATCCATCTACAGATCTTGTATATACTCGGTAATAGCATCTGATATAAACAGTATCGATAATAAAATAAAAAAATAAATATTTCATTCGACTTTTGTCTGTATCTTTTTCACGATTTAAATCTGTCCCTCGAAGAAAGCAATTCAAAGTTTCAGACAAGATTAATGTTCTTCAACGCATCAAAATATCGATTTGAAATTAAATGGACAAGAAAATATGATGACAGCTCCAGTTCGGATTCGTGTGTATGAATCAACGGAAAACGAGCACTTTGGCACTTGCCGACATCGCGACAAATGGAGGATGCATTGACCAAAGCGGCTAAGAAATTATTTTTATTTTGTACTGTTTCGTGTAAAGGGGGGAATTATTTTTCTTATTTAGTGCACTTTTAATGGTATATATATGCTGTCGATGCGATCCAATAACGGGTTGGCTGTTGTAACACCGTCTGTAACCTATAAAAAATAAGCAGAGGCAACCGGCACTTCGCTTGACATCTACCAACGTCACGTAGCCGTAGGAGGTCCCGCAAGGGCCCCATTAATCTAATCACAGGATGGGTAGGTGGTTGGGTGATATGTAGTTGAGTAATGTTAAAAGTAATACTCGAGAGGAAGCATCGGTTTTGGCGGTTTATTTATTTTACCTTATTTATTATTATTTTCGGGGGACGGCTATCCCTGAGGGGACTCTTTCGTTCCTATAAATAGTTTCTTCCGGTACTGACACTCTTCTGTTCCTATTACGATCCATATCGGTCCTCCGCCGATTCGATGCGGTACTTCGTCGCCGGAGATGGGTCTGGTGGACACTCTCTTGGGCGTCGTCGGCTTCGGGCTCGGCATTGCCATCGGCCTCGTGGTCGGCTACTTTTTCTACGTGTACTTCCAGCCCAGCGACGTTAAGGTGAGGAATCGATCGATGGTTTCCTTGTGATCAGCAATCGCTTCCTTTTCGATTGTTCGGAGACGGTCTTGACGGGGGCTTATCTTCCTGTGTATTTGGTTCTTCGGATTGAGTTGCGAGATCGGTGTTCTCTTGATGGTTTCGAAGATGGGGGTGGCGTTTCTCGGACTTTTTCTTTTTTGGGAATTTGACATGGTTTTGTATCTTTATTTCTTGTTTGGTTATCGTAGATTTTTGTCGAATTCGATGGTAAAACTCTGCTGAATTTACGGGGAAAAGATATGATTTTTCTCGGCTCATCCCAAACATATTTGTGGTTCAAATCGCTCAGCAATTTTTAGACTGTGATAAGCATCAGGTCTCTCTCTATTGATTTGATGTTAATAGAGATAGGAGATGAAATCGACGGATTTTTCATGCACAATTTACCAAATTTTCCCCCGAGAATTTGTAGCAAAAGAGAAATGTCGAATTGTACACTACTTGTTGGTCAAAGACTCCTATCAGATTAACTCTTTCTAGGTGTTCTGTGGGGTCAAACACTAATGTTTAGGTCAGTTCCGTGCACGTAGGTGGAGCTGTCGAGGCTTCCAGCAGAGAAGTTGGTTCGTCTTTCCTGCATGACTGATTTTTGTCACTTTATCACATGTTGTGACCAGAACTTGCAGTAAAAATTGAAAAAGGACTTTTCACTAGAGCAGAATTTCTCATCATGTCGTGTACAGACATTCTTAACCAAAGGAATTAAATGAGTGGTATGGATGTTCCCCTTGCAGGATCCAATTGTAAGACCATTGCATGAATTGGATTCCAACGCCTTGCAAAAACTTCTACCGGAGATTCCATTTTGGTTGAAAAATCCTGACTATGATCGAGTAAGTTTGTTTCCTTCACCTTACAAAATATCCATTATGTGTATTTTTCCTTATAATAATTCTATTGGTAATGATTATTTGTGCACTGTAAAACTCAGCAGATCAATTTTTAGATAAATATGTCATTAAAGCTTATATGATAGGTGTTATATTGCTTGTGTTTGGACTGATTGCTGTATGTGATTAATCTATACATCAAATTATTGACTGCTTAGTGCGGTTTAGCTGTTGATCTTACTCTGTGGATAATGAGATGCATATTCTAAATGGTAGGTCATATCATATCGGACATGGATAAGTGGTTGCCAGACATATACTTATTTGATCATGACATGCATCCACAAAAAGCGAGTTGTTTGATGATTAAACAAATACATTCCGTGTTTTTTGGAAATTAGGATTTGCTTAACACTAAGATGGAAACAATTGGTTGACTTATTTCAATAAAACCTACATATGTACATATATGAGAAAGCACAAACTCAATGCCAGTGTCAATTACAGACCATGTGGTTTAGCAGGAATTACCAACAACTTCTGTTATGTTCGACAGGACTATTTTGGACAATGTATCTTCTTAATTGGATTATTAAAAACCATGTGCACATGATTTATTTCTTATTACTTGCTGGTCTAACCAGGATAGCTGTTGCAAAATCACTTGGCAAAGTTCTTGCTTAAGGTCCATTGAATATTCTGATTTAGATGGAAGTGTCATATAAGGATCACAAGGATGAGATTCTAGGGAAATTGCAACTGATGGCAACACTGTCAGACGCTGTGTTGAGTAAATTTTCTGATGTTTAGAAGTCATGTAAATTCAAGTTTCTGCAGAAAAGTAATTGTTCATGATAATAAGTTGAAGCTAGTAAAATCAGAATCCTTCCCCATTGACATGATGAGCTTGTAGCTTGTCTAGGATCCTCCTTGGAAAAGTTTTCTGGCCACAAATTTTGAATATCATTTATTTCTTAGGAAAATAAGGTTATAGCTTAGTTATTTAAGACTAGCATGGCTCTTATTCACATCAGTGCACTGGTGTTTTAATATTAGGCCTTTATACTTGTCCTTTTATTTTATCCTTGTGCAGAACAAAATGCAAGTTTTGCTACACTGGAATTTTTCCAATATTCTTTTTTGTTCTCTTTGAATGGTTTACTTTACTCTTATATTTCTTTCGTTTTAATTATTTCTCCATGTATCCCTTTCCTATGATAAACTGTTAATATAGAAGCCGAAGGTTATTAATTAGGTTAAAAAAGTTTCAACAAGAATCTTATTAGTTACAAAAACAATATGGGCCGATGTATTTTGGCTTTTTGTTATCTTTTGTATCAGCATTCATGATGGGCGAGGCCTTTGCTAAAGATAGAAAGGTTCAAATCCAGACTGTACGATGCAGATACAGATCACTGATATTCAATTGAAATTACTTTATGATTATGGTCTATAAATGTGTTAAAAGATGTTATAATTTTTTCTCACCATGTTTAATAAACTTGTGTAACTTGGAGCACTTTCATTTGTTAGATGTTCCCTAACATGAATCAAAGACTTGGACAAAATAAGTCAAGATAATTGCATGGTGGATTAGAATAAGCTTCATTACTTATGATCGACACAATTGAAACGAGATCCTTTCTACTTTTTCAGAAAAAATAGTAATAAAAAGATATCCTTGACCGAAGGCGATAACTGAGATGTTAAGTCCCATAACTTAAAGTTATTTGATGGCAAATGTAAATTGGTAACAAAAAGATATTTTGAAGACAATCGATAACTTGTGAAATGCTTAGAAATATTGACTACATCTTTGATGACGTGGACTAGTCCCTGCCAAGATTAATCATAAAGGTTACATGCTATATATTCTCTCAAATAACATATGAAAATAGCTGCACTAGGAACATCTTTACTATGACTTCCATGTAAGATGTTTAACTGAGTGTCAGTTTCCTAAATGCATAATACAAGTGTTGGTCTATGGATTATGCAGGAAAAATCCTCTCTGGTACTTTGAATATATTAATGTCTTCCCTATACAAGAAAGCAGATAAACAGAACAATCTTGTTTGCACCTTATAATTTTAGTATATATTTCCAGAAGAGCTGGACTAATTCTTGGGAGAGTCCAATGGCTGAATTATTTTAAGGACCCAAAATCCAAGTGCTCTGCATTTCATATCAGAAGCTTATAAAAAATGACAAACTCTCTGTATGAGTTCTTCAATCAGAAGCCAGTCCTTGTATTATGTCTAGTCACAAATACTTCCAAACTTGTAGTTGAACCAAACATGTAAAGAATATTAATTTACATTATTGGCATGAGAAATTGAGATAACCAGGATTAGGATTAGCAAGGCAAGGCATGCATATGAAATAAATTAACAGGAAAAAAAGATCCTTACACGGCCTGTTATTTGGCATGAGAACAATAAAATTATTTGGTAATTGTATAAAGAGTCAGAAGAATGCTATTTTGAAGTTGTACGCAAATATGTAGTATTGTAAGATAAATCAAAGTATTTAAATCTGGATGTAAACTTTCAACCTTAATTATTAATAACTAGTTGAAATTCTCTAACTCAGGCTTAAATTGTACAATATATTTTTAGTTGTTCATAGTACACCAATCTATAACATTAATTATTATAAAGACAACTATTGCTCTTGATGGGTGGCTCAAGTAAACCACTATAATGATAGTAGTGATTTCACTCTTAATAACATCAATCTAAGCCAAAAATGGGGTTTATAATGTATGGTAGTTGGATGCACAAATAGTCAATCTAATAGTAAGAATATCCTTGCAAAAAAAATGAGAGAAAGGAAAAAGGGAATTGATATAGCTCTTTGATATCATGTTAATTCTTGAAAGTATCAAGGGTGGAATTAAGAAATGCAACATATTATTGAAGGTGTTATACACCCAAAGTAGATTGAAGCAGTTGTATGGGTAGGGATTCAGGTCTGTATGGAGCCCAGGTGACAAGCTTTGGAAGCATGTGTATTGTTGTTATTTCTTCTAAAAAGTTTAGGTGTGGATTCAGGTGCAGTTTAAATAATATATTAAAAAAATTACACAAGTTATTGTTTTTAGTAACTAACACACCTTCAATTGTACAAGTTAAATAATATATTAAAGAATTACACAAATAATATATTAAAAAATCGCACCTTCAATTGTACAAGTTATATTCTTTTTTATTATTTTTAATTTTTCCAACTTTCATTCAAAGTAATTTTTGGTCAAAGCCTCTTATCCATTCTCGTTCGATCACGGCGGGGGAGCAAGTCAAAATAGAAAAACTTACATTGGGTTTAGGGATAATCAGGCTCGAACTGATGACTTCCAGTCCACTTGATTCTTGATTTTGTGAACCTTGTGCAAAAATGCCTTCTATAGAAGACTGAATAAAGGTAAATATTTTTTCCATTTGAACGTTTTTTTTCTGGTTTGTTTTGCAAAAGCATCTCTGCGTAGCAGAAAGATTTTAGTTTTTTCTATTAAGATTGTGAAAGATAAAGCACATCAATTTTTTAACATGGTTCAGAGAAGGATTCTGAATGTTAAGATTCATGATTGCTACATTTTTCAAGTTTTCACATAATTGGTAGCACGATGCCTAATTGGGTATTTTAGGTCTTAATGCAAGATCCCTGCTGCAAGAATACAGTCACATATTAAATTCACTGGCTTCTAGGTCTTACATTCTCACTCCTATATACATTAAAAATATTACTGTACAAGTCTCATTGTTGTATAATGCTTAGAAAAATCTTGTGTTAAAATTTATATTTTCAATTATTTAATATTAAAATCTCTTTGCAGGTTGATTGGCTGAACAAATTTATTCTCAACATGTGGCCTTACTTAGATAAGGTTCTTCCATGTTTCATATGTTTATATGGTTGTCCTAATAAGATATGATTATCTTGGAATTTTGAAGTGTGCACTATGTGATTTCTCATAAAAATTGTACTTGTTCATTCACCTACAATTGCAGGCAATATGCAACAGAATACAGAGTGAAACAAAGCCAATATTTGATCAGTATATTGGAAAGTACTGGATAAAATCAATCGAGTTTCATAATCTAACTCTTGGTTCTCTTCCACCAACAATTCACGGTTTGTATCTCTCCCTTGAACTTATATCAGATAGAACTCTATGAACTAGAGAGAACATAATTTAGAACCTTTATTTGGAGCTTTTTCACAAATAAAGTACTGAGTTACACATAGAGGGTACACACTTGTTGCCTGTATCTAGTTTGAGGGGTTTTCATTTTTTCTAGTTTCAATTGAATAATACTCAAAGCCAAAAATAATTTACACATTCATGAAACTTGGTCACATGACACATAACTGAGCCATTGAACCTGGTCGCATGGCACAACTAAACCAGAAAACTTGTTTAGATGACAAAACTGAGCCACCGACCATGATAGAGACAATTCATTTTGCAATGGTTTGTTATCTTTGTTAACACAAGGTGAACAATATATATATATATATATATATATATATATATATATATGTATACTTAAAAAGATCATACAAAAAGGGTTAGCTAATATTTATTTAACACTCATTATATTCTCTGGCTACATTTCAACTGGTTGATGAAGATAAATTTGCATATATGCATTTGAAAATTCTATTACATGTTTATCCCCAACAAATTTGTACACCATGCATGACACTCGAAATTTTAGATTTTACCATAGACACCCTTCTCGGTTCATGAGCTTGACTTTTTATGTAGAAAATGTGTACACATATATAATCTACATTTTCGGACATAATGAGATCATTCCTGTAATATGTGTTTGCATACTTTGAGAACTGTACCAAAAACAACAATTTTGAGATTTTTCAGTTGTAATATAATAAAATTTACTATAAAGAGATCCAAATAGTGCTATCTATTGCTATTTCTTCTAAAATACAGAAAATATTTGTACCGTAGATTTTACAAAACTAAATCACTACCAATGCGTATTGTTGCTGAGGTTTTTCTCATGTTCATGCTTTTAACCAAGGATTTTAATTTCGAATGATACTGCTCGTATCGGGCGATACGTACCGGTCCGCCAGCAGACCGGTACGCGGATCGCTCGCTACCGGGCGGTATCATTGATCTAGTCTTGTATCGGACGATACGGGACAGTATCGGGTGATAGCAGTCGATATTTCGATCGCTATCGCCCGAGACAGGTCGATGACGGTCAATTTTGATTATCGTCGCCCACTATTAGGCGGTATCAGCCTAGCTGCGATGAGGGAAAAAGAAGCATCAAGGGAGAAGAGGGAGAAGGCACTCGAAGAAGAGGGGGAAGAAGAGGGAGAATCGAGAGAACCTCGACGCTTCTCGATCCAGCGCCACCCTCCCTCGACGATCCCGATCCAGGAGGTAACGGAGAGATGACGACTCGGCTTCTTCTTTGTCGCGCTCTTCGTCGTAGGCCAAAGATGCTTGCAGCCTTCACTGCGTTCTTTAGAGACATCTACGGCCTTTGATGTCTTTGTCGAACGCCACAGATGAGAAGGACCGCATCTTCTCATCTGGCGCGACGAGGAGAAGAAAAGGAGGCAACATATGCCTCCTTTTTCTTATTTTTTATATTTTTATATTATATATTATAATATATATATATATATATATATATATATATATATATATATATAAAAATATATTATGAGTGGTACACCTTGACATATTGCTCGGTTCACTCATACTGTATCATATCGAGCAAAGCTCGAAACGTCGATATGGTACAAAATTAAGAACCTTGCTTTTGACCATTGAAGTATAGATAAGTAGATGCTTAATATGAGAATAATGAATGTATGTGAATGTTTAAAACTCTCAGTAATATGGAATTATTTTATTATATTGTAGTGAACCTTGGAAAATGGAAACATATATTTTGACCACTAGTTTGAAAGATGCAACTTTAGGCATCGTTAATGCAAAAATATATATTCTACCATTCTGCCATCAGTGATTAACTCTTGGATCAATATAAAAATATGAGTCAATTAAAGTTCTTTCTTTGATGAAAATCCAATTTGCAACTATAGTTGGCTTACAAAGGCAAAATAGGAGGTGCTGTTCTTGTGTGCTTATGACCTTGAAAATTTTTCTAGTAATCCTAGTATGCTTCTGTGGCAGTTCAAGTGAAGATAACACATTCCTGGTTGAGATATATTTACTCGAAATCGACTTGAACAGAACAGTGGAATGTTCAGGACAACATTAAGTTGTAGACAAGATAGAAAAATGGAAAAAAATGTTGATATAGATATGAAGAAGCATATCTGCTGCTATTATCAAGTTCTGAAATCTGAACAGAGTTGATATGTAAGTTAGAAAAAGAAATATATAGAGAACAATAAAGATAACAAAGGCAAGCAAGTTGGAGATATTAAGGCAAGGAGATAGTAACTTACATTTTGATAACTTCATTGTTTCTCAGCATAAAATGAATGTGCAGCTCTAAGTCAACTCTTCTTCCTACTGGACTAGAACTTTTTAACTCAATAAGAACTAGCACGATCCTCTTTCCCAATCTTATCAAATTCACCCAAAATAGACCTTTGACTAGATTCGTATTTAACTAAAATAGAAATTAATATATTGATTATCCAGCAGCCTGCTTTTCCAAGAGTATAAATACAATGTTGCAGTTATAACTTGCGATACATTATGTGGCATCAATACTGGTATTATCGAAGGCTAATCTGATTTTGGTTATTCTTTTCACCATATAATTAGAAATTGGTAGGAAGCGATTAAATTAATCAAACTCATTTGGAGTTGACTGATCTTTTTCACTAAACGGTTTTACATCCTTAAAGAAGAAAGAGGAGAGCAGAGTTGGAGAGAATACAGAAGAAGAGGAAAGTTGAGATGAAAGAAAAACAAAAAATTTAGTTGATCACAAATGTGAAATAGACGGAGACATAGAGTTTGATTTGTATCACAACCATCACATTTGTTGTCTACCAGCATTTATTGTTTTAATCTTTGTTATCCATCATCATGTAAAATAGTGACAATGATGTAACTGGATGAAGCTATTACTATATTTTACATTTTTTGTTTTTGTATTGCATACACTTCAAATAGAGAGCAATTAGAAAAGAAGTGGACCACAATGAAGTTTATTCATTGAAATTTTTTATTTTTTAATTATTTATAATTTTATATTATAGTTATTTACCATAGTAATATTTTCGTATAATATTGTTGCAATTTATTCTATAATATATATAATATTTATTACTAGTTAATTATTTATTATTTTTCATTGTATTTTTATCATTAGTTAAGATAATCTTTAGTATGATTCAATAATTCTACCGATCCCAATCATATATTCCATAGCTAATCTTGATTCTTGATCCCAATGTCAATCTTGTGAATTAAGGATATAGGTATGTTTAAAAGCAAATAGAATTCATGGTGAGATTTCAATAAAAGTAGAAGATCATATAAAAATATGTAAAAAGAGGAAGGAAGTTATTTGATGAAGAAAGAATAACAAAAGTTCTATTACATAAAAATACACAATTATACTTTTGACTTAAGGCTAACTATATTAGCTTTCCTTCACTCCTACATTGACAAAAGCCTTGTGTATTGAACTTAGTTTTTATCTTTAATTAGATAAAATAAATAACTTGACCGGTACTAATAATCTGATGACAAAACAAATTGTGACAAAAGTTATAAAAATAAGAAAAAAGGAAAGAATTGTGGATAATTTTTTACTCACACTTAAAGGTATTTGTTTCTTATAATATGTGTAGCAAAAAATTGTGATGGTATCCTCCTGTGGTTTGATTCAAATTTGTTGCATTTCTTGAATATAACAGTGAGTAACCAATGGGAGTCATGTGCCTGTAAAGTCAATTTTAAGTTGGAAGGTATCTTAGATTACATAACCTAGCACCATGGCATGAAGGGTATTGCAGCATTATTCATCTGAAATCTGGTAACCATCAATTGCTCCATTTACAAAAGTCTTTTAGTACAAGACTAAAACTTGAAATGTTAGTCTCTATAATGCTTCTTCGAGTCAAATACTGATTATTCATCAAATATTCATTCTCCCAAGATATAATTATCAAGCAACGACAATTTCATATATTCATTACTTGTAATAAGAATAAAAAAAGGATTTGAGTGGCATCTATCAGACAAGTTATGTTAACAACTAATATTCTTTGATTGGCATCGATCTCAATATCATTGATTACTCTTTGCCGTCAAGAATATTTAAGTTGTAACATTCCATGTGAGGTTAGCTCCTGATGTGCATAGCCTAGTGGAAGATTATTCACATGTTAGGAATTACACTAGGGCTTAAAGCACTAGTTTATAATGGTTCTCACCATATATGTTTTCAAGTTTTTAAAGAACATCCTTATTTCTTGTAAGAAATTGATTATTCTTGAAAAGTTTAACCGAAAAAAGACTTCGACATCATAAGGTCCTAATCTTGAATCTCATCTGCGCCACTTACCCCTTATATATATATAAAAAAAAAGATAACTATAAATTTGTTTGAAAATTTCTACTATAAGCTTAAAGGTAATATAGATTGAACTAAGGTTCTAGACCTTCCTTCCGTTAATATTGAATTATTTACAAAGAAATGATTTGAATTATTATATTATTTTTTAAACAATATAAACTTTAAGATTCAAATGAATCAAGTAATCAATCGATGGATATACTTGGTTTTACTACCAAAAAGAACGATGGGACTCCATGGGCGATGGATTAGGGTTCTCGATCCTATGTATCTATGTATCAATTTGATATGTTTGTCGGACCCAATCCTGAAATTGATCCCACGACATAGTACATTAATACACCGTATACCATTGGTACATCAATGCAGCGATGATCGTAGTTTGATCATCGTGAACCACATGTCCGAGATGGTTCTTGAGACAAGGACGATTATGATTAAACTTGACCAGTACTTCTTTAAGAGAGCGAAAAATATGAGAATGAGAGAAAGATGTAAGTGAAAAAGAGTTTGAGAGAGCTGAAGAGTTTGAGAGAGTGAAATGAGTTAAAAGAGAGAAGAGGAAAGGGTTTAAAAACCCTTTCCCATGGTTTAGACGATCAAATTGACCGTTATCGACCAGTACAGACCCCGATAGAGGGTTATGTAATGGGCACTGCCTAATAGAGGGCGGTCCATGTACTGGTCTCCCGTCGGACTAGTACATACTGTCCATAATGAGCGGTATTACTCGGTATGTTAAACCTTGGGTTGAACAACCTCATCTCACATTTACTCTAACTTGTAACCGTAAATGAACACTTTTAATATGGTGTTATTTACCTCATGATTCATATAATTGCTGGTAACAAATTTATTTGTAAAATTACAGTATGATAATAGACAAGGTTTAACGTTTATTAGGGTTAGTGGATAATAAGCATGGGGCCCTATATTATTGGGAGAAATAGAAAGTTTGACACCCTGCTTCCATGCTAAACATCATATCTAATGTAATTAAACACATATGAAAAAATTAATGAATGTTTTATTCCAGATGACAAGGGGTTCCTATCATTAGACTAAAGCCCTGTAATTTTGATCTTGATTGTATTCTTCTGCAGTTATATTCTTGTAGAAATTTTAGAACTTAATGCATATATCCTTTCCTTTCACTTATTTTGTAACAAGAGCTGGATTTATGTTCTCCTCTTATTAGGAGTTAAGGTTTATGAAACTCAAGAGAAAGAATTAGTCTTTGAGCCTGCAGTTCGATGGGCTGGCAATACAAACATAGTTTTAGTACTAAAGTTGTCTTCCATCAAAGTGACAGTGCAGGTCAGACATTTCCTGATTAATTACTAGGTGAAAATGACTTGCAGTTCATGCAACTAACAGAACACTTTTCTGTTGTTAGCTATTGGATTTACAAATATCTTTGGTACCACGTGTCACTTTGAAGCCACTAGTTCCAAGTTTTCCATGCTTTGCCAACCTGACTGTCTCATTGATGGAAAAGGTAATCAACATTAGTTGTTTGGATCCTCTCCATATGTTTACAAGATTAACTTTTCCAGGCATCACTTATGGTATTTTTCTCTCGTACAAAATTGCAGCCATATGTTGACTTTGGGCTCAAAATTTTGGGTGGAGATTTGATGGCGTTGCCTGGCTTGTATCGGTTTGTTCAGGTGAATTTGGACACTATGGCTAACTGCGAGATACTTGACCAAATAACATATTATTAACATGGTCAAATTATAGAGATTTCTTTTTGTTTCTTCTTTTTTGAGTTCGAGTTTTGCAATTAGTTTAGTACCCAACTAACTACTTTTGGAACCATTGTTGACCACAGGATACAATTGCAACAGAAGTTTCGAATCTATACCATTGGCCAAAGCTTATAGAAGTGCCTATTTTAGATAGTTCTAGGTAAGCTCATTGTTAGAGTGTTCACAAGGATGCTAACAATTGCATATTTGTCTTTCATGGGTTGGTTGATTGCTGTAGTATATTGCTTGTATCTCTTATATGGTTTGTTAAGGTTTCTTTTCTACTGCATGTATGTTTTATGGCGCTATTATGTCTTAATGTAGACATTTGGGCTTGTTATTCCCAGACACATGCAACAAGAAGTCTAATGAACTACATAATGACAACAGGAAACTTGAGTCGAACTTGTCATTAAAAGTAATTAAAAAATGGTAATACAGTGCAAGAGACTTCTGCAAATGCGGGGCCTGATGTGAGACTTTTTTTTATATTATAAATGGATCTGTTATCCTTATTGAGGGGATGGAAATAGAACTCTGCACATAATATAAACTCAATTTGTGCTTCATATTGTTAACATGCCCTTGATCAACCTAGCCTTGTGAAGGGTTGCTGGCATCAATTTGTTGTTAAACAAATGGTTGGGCAAGATTTTTAAAGTCTTATCCTCTTATCCTTGCAGTTGTGCAACAAAGAAGCCCGTGGGAATATTGCATGTCAACGTTGTTCGGGCATCTAATCTTCTCAAGATGGATTTGCTCGGTAAATCAGATCCATATGTTAAACTCAGCTTAAGCGGGGAGAGACTGCCATCAAAAAAGACCTCAATAAAGATGCGTAATCTAAATCCTGAATGGAATGAGCAGTTCAAGCTTACCGTGAAAGACCCAGAAACTCAAGTTCTTCAGCTGCATGTCTATGACTGGGAAAAGGTTTAGATCCCTGTATGCTTCTTTTCTCTTGTTTAGTCTATCTCCTTACCTGGTTTATCTCCATTTGAAGTTTCTAACTACTTCAAGACACTGAAATATTCACTCCAAATTAATTTTTGTTGGTTATTATTGATGATTTTTTAATTTGTTTACTGTGATAGATAATTTTACTCTTGCATAACATCACTTATCCTTTTGGATGAATGAGGGCATCATAAAAAATTCGATTTATTTTGATATGATTAAACAGGTGAAAATGCACGACAAGTTGGGCATGCAGGTGATTCCTTTGAGTTTGCTTACTCCTCATGAAACAAAAGAGTTCACTCTTGATCTTCTCAAGAACCTAAACCCCAATGACCCACAAAATACAAGAAACAGAGGAAAGATCATAGTGCAATTGACATTTGACCCTTTTAAAGAGGATAATGGCAGTTTCAATATGGGTTTAGATGAGAAGCTTAGTGGCAGTGATAGAGCTACCCAAGATACATCATATAATGGTGGGCTGTTGTTGGTGACGGTAGAAGCTGCAGAAGATGTGGAAGGAAAACGTCATACTAATCCTTATGCCATGATCCTTTTCAGAGGTGAAAAGAAGAAAACTAAGGTAAGTCCAAGGTCATAGATGATTATTGAGCAAGATAATGGCACATTACATATACATCTTTTATGAAGTGCACTCACATGCCAATGACCTTGTTGTTGGAGTCTTCCAACCAGTACATCCATTTATAAATTTTATGAAACATAGACTAGCTTTTCTTTATCAGCTACATATCAGTTTTAATATGCATTGTTTTTTTTTCACTTTTCTACAAGTATACGTCCAGCTCCTTCATGCATAATAATATCAACAAAAACAAGCCATGATAGCCCAACTATTTAGGATCGTTTACATGGATTTCTTGCTGCCTTGAGCTCTATAAAAGCAAGACCCTTAATCAAATTAAAATATTTAAGTCATATTTTTAATAAAGTTTTCTATAAGTCTTCCTCTATCTCCCCTTGTACCATTATTACTAATCCAACTCCATACATTCGAATTTCAAATGCTATTCTAAATTTCATTTCTGGTCATTGTATTATTTCTGTAAATAATATCTTCTTTTGCTTATGAAATTATTTATTTTTTCAGTTTTACTATGTTTTACTTTCACATTGACCTTTGGCTATGTACATTTTTTTCTCCTTAGATCCCACATTCATGAGAGCTTTATTTCATTGTGTCTAGCTATTTTGACTTTGATTTTCAATTTATTCATAGTGATCAAAAAAATTCTAGCCTCAGAGAACATCTAGTTTTTAATTTGTTTGTAGCATTGTTTCAACATTTATAATCTCATCCATTATGCTTACATTACTATTTGTAGACATATGGTGCAACTAAGCTTGGTAATGATATCCTTCCCATTTTACTATTGCTTTTTGATGTATGTCAAAGGGTCCTTTTCTCTTCTTTACCTTTCAGAATTTAAGAACACATAATTTAGGTTTTATGTGCCGGGTTGGGTATCTGTATCTGAATGATCATCATTACAAATATTTATCTGGCTTGCTAATGCTATGGCATTCTCAGGTCATCAAGAAAAGCAGGGATCCAAGATGGAAGGAAGACTTCCAATTTATGTTAGAAGATGCCCCAATTGACGAGAAAATTCATGTGGAAGTACTGAGCAAGGGGAGACTTTTTAGCTTTCACCCCAAGGTTAACAACATATTTGGATAAAGCTTTTTTCTCCTTTTTTTTTTTTCTTGTGTCTTGTCTTCTTTAGTATTATTAATTTTCATTTTCTTTTCTCATTGGCAGGAGTCCCTGGGTTATGTTGATATCAATCTTTCAGATGTTGTAAACAATGGACGCATAAACGAAAGATATCATTTGATAAATTCACACAATGGAGTTATTCATCTTGAGATCAAATGGAACACTACCTGATGGTGCATGCTCTGCTGCTGTGTATATCCCAGAGTTATGCTATACTAGTGTATGTAATTTCAATTTTCCAGTGTCTTATAAAATTGCATCGTTGATTTGTTTTGTTAATATATATGACTTTCATCTTTTGATACCATGTAAGCCTTAAATGACAATGATCATGCTACAGCATGTTCTTTCCGGTGTCATATGGCATTGGCCTTAACAGAGCAAATGCAACATAAATGGAGTGGAGGCTTATTGTTGCTGCGTGCAATAGCATTGGAGAGATTACAGAACATGTGTGAGATTGACTATTGGGATTCAGTATTCCACAGTTAAGTTATTGAAATAAGATTTGAAGGGTCAAAACCTTATTCAATATATTTTTTACATCTTCATTCAGGTTTTTCACTTCATGATCTCACAAATAAGTTACAATAATTGTCGAAACAAAGATTGAGAGTTTAGAATGTGATAATGATGTTTCAGGTCTACCTATCAAAATTTTATTTAATATATTTTTAAAAACATCGACCGATTTGATTGATAAACATTTTTATCAAATTATCGTAAAGTCTTAGGATCAAAATGTATGGTCACGTATAAAGTCTCGCTTCGTTATTTCTTTTTAAGCTTAGAAACCCAATTTTTTTGAACTTTCAGGTGTGTCGTTCAAAGTAAGAATATAACGTTTGAACGCCCAAATGTCTTTCGAAAGTCTGTTATACCGCTTTCTTTCAACAATTAATTATTAAGAAAGTTTTATGCTAACTCATACTTGAGGACTTTAGGATTGCATAGAAATTATTAGAACAACGAAACACAACTTAGAGATTGTTTACCTGTATTTTTTCATATTTCAGTCGTATATTATATCTTAAGAATTTAGAGATTATAAAGCATTTTAAAGTTAGCACATAAATTTGGACCTAAATATTCCAGAAATCCATTTACATTGTTTTCTAAAAAAAACGTAGATAATATTCTTTTTGACAACTCGAATACTCAGGATCAGAAGATTCATAGTCATACAATCTAATTTGATTATTACAACACGAAGGTTTAGAATCCATGTTTCTCTTGGAATCTTGAACGATCCTTTCCAACGGCGGTATTTGCCAGTAGAAATCTGATCAAGAGAAAGTACTGTATCTGATACTGCCCTCTATTGGCACTGCATGAGATAATAGTCTCTGCTCTTTTTGGATTCCCGGTGCCAGTGACATGCATCCGCTTCCATTCGATCGTATCATCATCAGCCCCATCATGCCTCCTTCATAGTTCAAGACTCATCAACTGGCACAACCTGATGGTGTGCATGGGCTGATGATACGCAGCATCGGGCTTCTCCTTGGACAACTCGTTGGATATCCACCGCATGTCCGGTCGTGACCTGGGATCAGTTCGCACGCATGTCAACGCGATCATCGTGGCTGTGGTTATCTCCTCCATGACGCGATCCGTGGGGCACGGAAGACGCCGATCCAACACATCTTTGAGGAGTGTGAGTTGTCCGCAAGGCGAAGACAGCGATAGAATGAGCTCCCCGGGGTGTCTTCCCATCATCACCTCCAGCGCCACCACCCCAAAGCTATACACATCGCACTTCTCCGTTACCTTCATCGTGTAAGCAAGCTCTGTGAGAAAGCAAAAGTGGCTGTGATTCGTCTCCTGTCCTTAAGCAGAATGATTCGGTGGTGCATATGGGGTCATACCTGGGGCGACGTATCCCATGGTGCCTGCAAGCGTGGACCAGTTCGATGAATCAAGCTGCATGAGCTTCGCAGTGTCGAAGTCGGAGACGCAGGCCTTGAACTCTGAATCGAACAGGATGTTCTTGCTGGACACGTCGCGGTGCACCACGCAGGGGTTGCAGTCATGGTGCATGTAGCTGAGCGCGTCGGCCACGTCCCTCACGCACGTCACCCTCCTCTCCCAGTTCAGCTCCGCGGCTCTCTCGTCCTCCTCCAGCATGCACGCCAAGCTCCCCCTCTCCATGTACTCGTACACCAGGAACATCCACCGCGAGTGGTTACAGAAGCCGTAGAGCTTCACGACGTTGCGATGGCGGATCTCCGTCAGCGCCCGGATCTCGTTCCCGAAGCCCTTCTCGTTGAGCAGCCCCCCGTTGTCGGCGAGGTGGAACTTCTTCACGGCCACCACCTGACCGGTCGGAAGTTCTGCCTCGTACACGCTGCCACATCCACCAATTCCGACGCAGTAGGCGTCGTCGAAGTCCTCCGTCGCGTCGATGATGTCGCAGAAAACGGCCCTCCCGTCGTAGTTCCAGATCGAGAACAAGTCCGAGTTGCTCGTCTCGGCTTCCTCCTGCTCCGAGATGCCGATTCTTTGGCGGCGGCAGAGAACAACACAAAGGTATACAACGAGGACAAATATCACGACAGAAATCAGAACCGAGATGCTGACAATAACGACTCCCAACCTGTGTGGTGGTGTTAGGCTCCACATCTCTTTAGATTTAGCAGGCAAATGAACAGACGCTGTTCTATTGATCTTGTAAGAAGACATCGAAGCAGTACCTGAGACCAGTGAAGACAATATCCGGGTTCTCGTATCAATCAAGAAGCTGCAACCACAGCAACTCGGATTCCATTTGAACGAGCAGGGTGCGGGTGGTTTAGTGCTTGACGGGGAAGACGAAGTCAAGCTCGTGGATTTAGCCTTGGAAGAGAATGCATCTGGAGGACCCCATGGCAGACTCCATTTGGAATCTCAGTCTGCGAAGACTTGATAAGTCAAGGGAAGACTCTCTTGAGATATCAAGACTGCAGAAATTATGTGAAGAAGAACTAGCCAGCCAAGGAGAAGATGTGGAAGAAACCAAAAGTCTTGTGGAATAAGCACGGAGAATGGAGACAGATGAGAACAAGAGACGTCTCTGGTTATGGTACCGTATTGGCGTCGACATCGATCACTAGTCTTCGCCGGTGAGCACAGTTTCGATGGTGTGATTAACGTGTTAATGATAAGAATGTGTTTCGTGCGAAGTGAAGGTGTTCTTCACGCCTAATGATATATCAATGTTTATTATATATTTGAAAGCCAAATTGAAGGATTCAATAAAGAGATATCGGAATACCTCTGACATGAGGTTAATATATTAGAGAAAATTGTGGCAATAGGAACATTTCAGAAGATTTATCAAAACAATGCATCTGTAAACACTCAGATCGGTCAAAAATCAATTTCAAAAAATTCATCTTAATATGATAATTATTATGCATCTAATGAAATAAATAGTTGATAATTAATGATGTTATGGTTATGATGGAATTCTTAGATATATGACATCAAAATTTAAGTATATAGTTTGTTTAATTAAAACTTAAAAATGACTGAATAATCACGATCGAGTTGATGAGATGTTGGATGAATCATGAGCAAAAGAAAATAGCTAGTATGCACGACTTAAATAATTTGTAGAATTAAAAGCATCCGTCGGTGATAGCTCGAAAAAGAGGCAAAAGCACTGAAAACTAGAAAAAGGTTGAGTGTGTTAAGAATTAAAATTATATAAGATTCTTATTTTTTTATAATAACTAAAAGATAATTATCCTTCAAATAAACTGATTAGATGAAATTTTAGTTGTTTAAAATAAGTGACATGATAATATTCTCTTAATTTAATTTGATATTCTTACACCTATAAATAGATAACAAGTATAGATCCATCTAAGTCTCATATCTCTAAGTCTAGGGTAAGTATTTTTCTTTTGAACAGTTTAATATATATTTATTTTTACTTCTATCTCGATTTGTATTTCTTTTATTTGGTTTGATCTTAGGTCATTAATACATTTTTACTAGTATTTGAGAAATGATTATACTTATATGTGATCCCTCCCTTTCTTCACATGGTATTAGAGTCACCACGTTGATAATATGTACTTTAAGATTTTCTTAATAAAAAAAAATGATATTTTTCGACTAAGAATTACCGTAGTCGAGTTGGTGAATTTGATATTGAACTTATCAATCTGTATAACTAAAAGATTTGAAAGACTTGTTTGGAGTCATATCTCATACAGGAGAATCTATGAGATGCGATTAGTAGCAAGCTAAATTTATGTTAAAAAGATCTTTATCTCTTTGAACATATTATTGGTTGTTAATTAGGTTCAAAGATTTGAATCAAATATATTACTCAATAAAAAGAATATGATTCGACTTTAGTATTTAGAGAATAATTTAGCAAATACTATCCAATGTAATCTCTTAATTTCTTAATTTTTTTGAAGATTAAAAACTTTATATTCAGATATCCAAATGAGCCTATTCAATATGTTACATCTATTCAAGGATGAGTTCTAACAACTATCTTTAGTAGAGCTAGAAAATCTTCTCGCTTCTCATTAATCCGTAATTTGTCGGGAGTCTCTACTTCAAGGGAAGATAAAAATACTCATTTTACATATAAGAAAAGGGATAATGATTACGATAAAGAGAAGAAGGATGATGCTAATAGTAAGCCGTAGTCTTCTTCTAACAATGTGCAAATCTAAAGAAGATCAAGTGTTATAGGTGTGGTAAGAGGCCATGTTAAGAAAAATTATCATTTTAAAATCATTGAAGAAAATATTACAAATAAAGAAAATTATTCTAATGCTACTGATGAAGATTGGATCAAATATTTTATGATTAAAATTATTATAGTGGAGGCCATGACATTTATCAACTTCAAACATGACTTAGATAGTTAATTGATCATCATCTTACCGGTGATGGTACCAAATTTATCAATCTTCGTAAAGGTTATAATGCAATTATCATGATAGACAATACTATTCACTAAGTAGAGAAAGAATGCTTCAACATAACATTAGATAAAGATAACGATTCTATTACATTGAAGAGTGTGTATCATGTTTTAGGTACCAAGAAAAATCTTTTTTCTATTATAAATATAGTTGATGTTAAAAAATTATATTCTTTCTAGTCCTTATAAAGTCAAGTTTCTTCATAATAAAAAATAAATAAATATTAATATAGTACACACTAGTAAAAGGATTAAAGATTTATATATTTTGTCAGCATCTAACTCTTATGGTGATATGATGAGTACAAATGATTATATATCAATATGACATACTAGACTTAGTCATATAAATTATCTCACATTAAAGGTTATGATATAATCTAAATTAATGGTAAATTACTTTCGAGGTATAACATTCTATTAGAACTTATTCATAATAATCTAATGGGCCTACTCAAACTCCATCTTATTCATATTTTTATTATATACTTCTCTTTATTGATGATTTTACAAGGTTCACTTAGCTTTATTTTGTGGAAAAAAATCAAAGGTTTTCACCAAATTTCAAGAGTTAAAGTTAATAGTTGAATGTGATTTTGAAAAAAAAATTAAAAAGCTACGCATTAATAACGAGGGAGAGTTCACTTTTGCTATATTCTTCTCCTTTTGCAAATAGCATAGCCTCAAAGTGAGTTCACTTGTATAAATATGTGACAAAATAAAAGATTCAACATCTCATATAGACTTTTAAGTATTGGTTTTATGCAAAGAATTTACCCAAAGCGGGTAGAAGGTATGACATGTATAACTTATATTATTAATCGAAGTCTTATTAACTCAATCAATTTAGTCTTCAAATGAGCTCAAAAGAAACTAAATATTAAATATTTTAGAGTATTTAATTTTTCGGTCTATGTTCACATACCAGTCTCAAAGAGAAATAAACTTAATGCTAAGACCATGAAATACATATTTATTAGCTATAATAAAAAGAAAAAATATTGAAAATATATGAATCCATAAAAACATAGATATTTGATATCTCAAAATGTGTTTGATAAGTTTATTCGTATTATCTTTCACAACTAGTTTCTTTTGGAAATATCAATCACAATAATAAAAGTGATATATATTCAAAGTACCCCTGTAAAGTTTAACTTATAGAGATGGAGACAATGTACATATCTATCGTTATTTCTTTTTGGAACTAATTGATGATCTTGGGCCTACTTAAGGAGTTAAGTAATGCGAGAGTACCATAGATGAAAAAACAAAGGCTTATCATATATATGAAATTTGGAATCTTATGCCAAAGCTTACGAATATAGATCCAATTACTTGCAAGTGAGTCTACAAGGTAAAACATTAGTTAGATGGAAGTATAAATCACTATAAGATAAGACTTGTTATAAGGACATTTTTAAAAAAATATGGAGAAGATTATGAGGAAATATTTAGTCTTGTAGCCAAGATTTCATTTGTTTTGGTGGTAATCTTCTTAGCAACTAATCTTGAGCGGAAGTTTTGGCAACTTTAAGTGAAGAATGTCTTCTTATATAGTAAAATTGATAATGACATTTATATAAAGCAACCACTAAGGTATATTTATATTTTTAAATCAAATTATATTTATAAGCTCAAGAAGACTCTTTATGTGTTAAAACAAGCTCTTAGAGTTTGATATGAAAAAATTACTTAATATTTATATTTCTATGGTTAGTTTTCTTCTCATTTAAATCTTAGTTTATTCATTAAAAAGCAAGAAAACCTACATATTATTATTCTTCTATATATGGTTGATATGATTATCAACGATAATAGTATAGTCGATATTTGAAAGCTTTGTGGTGATCTTTCTTTTCGATTTGAAATTAAAGTCTTAGAGGAGCTCAATATTTTTGTTATCTAGAGGTAATAAATATAAAAGAAGTCATATTTATCTCTCAAATAAGTTATAAAAAAAAATATTAAAAAAATTTAGAATTAATAAAAGTAAAATGGTTTATACTCCAATCGATATAAATATAAAGCTAAGTTGTAACGATGGCAAAGTTCTTTCTCATCCCAGATCCTTTTGTGCTCTTGTTGGTGAATCACTTTATGTAATCTCCAAGAAAGTTACATCTTAAAGTAGCAAAGAGAAATATTAAAATATATTAATTGTATCCTTGATTTAGGGTAATTTTATAAGAATTGCATAATTATGTAGATTCACTTCTAGCTATCTTTTTGTATAGTTCTACTCAATCTCAAGATAAAATAAGAAAAAAAATTAGTTTATCTTTCTACAACATAAGTATATTTTTTATTTGTTACTCAAGAATGTGCTAGTTACAAGTGTCTTGCAAGCCAATCACGTGAGTGATGACACATGTGATATGCTGCACAGTCTTTTTGCTTATGACACATGTGATATGCTGCACACATGTGAATATTGCTTGTTATATATATTGTGATGTCATTAGATATGTATAATAAAAATTAGATCATGATGAAATCATGATAATGAGATCAATTCACCTATAAACACAGACCCTAAATATTTTCGATCATAGGTTACTCGAGAGGGACATCAAGATAGCTAGACAGATCGATATACTATATACCTATTCATATGATGGAGGTGGCTGGTCTCATAATTGCTTGTGTGGGGACACTACATTAAAGATGCTCTGTATGAGTACTCAACTCCTTGATACCGGAGTTATAGGTTTGGAAGTTCCAGATCTAGTATAGTTGGTCATCGAGAGTAGTAGTTAACCTTACGAGAGCGATTGAGCATTGATAGAGGATCATTCACTCTCAATATTATGAGAGAAATCTCCCATGTATTCTCACTCAAGCAAATCCC